TATATATGGGATGTGTGTGGGGGAGAGGGGGGATTAAACCCAGGGCCTTTGATCTGAGCTACATCCTCACCCCCCACCCATTTGAAGTAGGGTCTCACTAAGCCATTGCCCAGGCCAGGCTCAAACTTGTGATCCTCCTGGTTTAGCCTCTCGGAGTACTCAGGTTACAGGTGTGTATCCCCCACCCCGGCTTTATTCCTGTATATTTAGGTGCTGAATTCTTAAATTAGCTCAATAATGGGCATGAGCATCAAGTGTCAGAGCCAGAACCCTGGCTGTCCGTGCTTCTCTTGGAGAGGAAACCAGTGGCTTGATTGCTGAGTTGTGGCACCAGCACCGGAGTCCGGCTGTCTGGCCTCCCTGTCTGGATCTTCACTTTGTTGGTTCGTCTGTTGGGCAGTGTCTTTGAGTTGTCGTGGTGATTATGCAGCCACACCTGTACGGTTTGCAGCAGGCTGTCTGACTTGTGCAGAATCCTTCAGTTTGTGCAGTTTTTGTCATTACAGTATTTTCTGTGAAACCTAACGTTACTATTACCTTTAGAATTGGCAGAAGCACTGTAAATGATGGGGAAATGTGTTTGAGGATTCGTAGTCATTCACTATTCTTGCAAATAATAATTACAGTTAACACTTACAAGTGTTTTATGTATATTATTTAATCCCTGTAGCAACTCTGTGAGGAATACTTTTGTCATCTCCATTTCCCTCATGAGAAAAATGGGCACTTTGATGAAATGAAGTAACTATGGCTGGATAACCAGGTGATAAGGGATGGAGCTAGGATTTGAACCCAGGATGTCTGGCTGTTCATCACCACACTGTAGGAGACAGCCTGGCAACTTGACATTTACATTCTTTCATGATCCTTATGCCCAAATATGTGTTCAAATTGGCTCAAACTGAAAATTATTACTGTATGGTCGAAGTACTGTATAATTTAATGGAGTTTGTTTTGTTTTTGTTTTTTTCTGTTTACTTTTTTTTGAGACAGGGTTCCACTATGCAGTTCAGGCTGGCCTTGAACTTACTTTGTAGTCCAGGCTGTCCTTGAACTCACAGTGATCCTCCTGCCTCAGCCTCCCGAGTGCTGGGATTACAGGTGTGAGCCACCATACCCAGCCCTATAATGGCTTTTGTCATTTTAAATAATTCATGATAAAACATCTCAAAGAAAGTTCTTACTTTGTCTAGACTCAGCCAAATTTTATTAAAGCTACATGCCTCCACTTTTAAAACCTGTATGTTCAATATTAAAAAGAAGTGAGTCCCGTTAGTCCTTGTACATCTGGAATGAATCTTCATATGAAACTAATAGGACCTGAAGTGCCTGTCATAGGTTCGGTAATGACAGTGATGCAGCAGTGTGTTGCCTGCTGTATTTGGGCACAATTTCACACTGGTAACTTCTCTGCCAGGTGTTTATGCCGCTCTTGGCACCATGCAGCCTGTTGGAGGGGTTCTTCTTCTGTTCTTATTTACTGTTGGAATTAGTTCAGTTTAAGACTGTAAAAACTATCTTCTCGCCCATTGTAGTGGTGCACGCCTGTCATCCCAGCACTCAGGAGGCTGAGGCAGGAGGAGGATCATTGCTAGTTCAAGGCCAACATGGACTACACAGTGAGCTCAAGGCCAGCCTGAACTGCATAGTGAGACCCTGTCTCAAAAAGACATACATACATACATATATACACACATACATACATACATAAATGATCTTCTCTTCTTTCAACAGTGCATGACACCCGATCAACTGATGTCATTATGCAAAGCAGGCATTCATAGTAGTAACATCGGAGTTAGAGTGAACGTTGTCAGTATTTTAGGAATCACTGGCAGTGTCCTAGCCAAAGAAGATGGAACGCTTGAAACTCTTAAGGTAAAACAATTTCTTTTCTAACCTAAAACATTACATTAGCAATGGACCAGGTCACTGAGCGTGGTGTTGCATGCCTGTAATCCCAGCACACAGAAGGCTGAGGCAGGAGGATCCCTGTGAGCTTAAGGCCAGCCTGGGCTACATAGTGACTTCAAGGCCAGCCTAAACTACACGGCAAGACCCTGTCTCAAAACAGACAAGCAAACGGGCTGGTTATGGTGCTGGACACCTATAATCCCAGTGCTTGGGAGGCTGAGGCAGCATTGCCATGAGTTCAGTGCTGGCCTGAATTATGTAGTGAGACTGTGTCTCAAAAAACAAAAATAAATAAATAGGTAGAAGTAGAAGAATAACCATTAGTGTAGGCTTATTAAAAACTGCATGATGAGAGCATGTATATCGTGCAGTTGCTTCCTATATTAGAGTTCCCATTGGCCTGTTATAACTGTATTATAAGATAAATCCTTGAAGCAGAGTATGGTGGCTCACCCGTCATCCAAGCACTCAGGAGGCTGAGGCAGGAAAATTGCCATGAGTGTAAGACCAGCTTGGGCTACAAAGTGAGTTCAAGGCCAGACTGAAATACATTGTGAGACCCTGTCTTGAAAAATAAAAACATAAACCCTTGAAAAGCTGGGCCTCATTTTTCCATTTAACTTTATTCCAGAGATACTTTCTCCAAAATTTTTTAGGGCAAGGCCAAAAGCAGAATTTTTAAAGATGTCTTTTGACTTTGCTCTTGTGTAAAATGTTTGTGTGTTATACTTTCCTGCTAATGAACAATCCACCCAGTTTTCTTGGTACACTAGGTTAAGGCATGGTCTGAAAAATTCCAGACAAGAAATTCTAACACCATTCCATAAATTGAAAGGAGCATGTTTGCTGTCAGCACTTTATCTCAGCACAGTTGCTCTGGAACTGCACTGCTGCAAGTACAGCATTCCTATAACTCAAAGGTCAATAGTAGTAAAATTACCTTTTATTGTGCTCATAACTCCTGACATATTGATTACTGACTAATGGGTAATAAACCGGTTATTATACCCTTCTAAGGACTTTGTAGTGATGACTAGTGTTTTTAAAAATTGTTTTAGAAAAACGATGCATGCACATGGCAAAACATTTTAAAAAGTACAAGTGTATAGCATCTAGTGAAGAGAGTCGCCGGCACTCCTAACCTCACAGTTCCCTCCCTTGCCTCTGGAGTGGCAGCCACTATTTCAGGTTCCTTCTGTTGTCTTTCCAGGGGTTCTTGATAAAAACATGCATATGTGAGAGCATGGCTCTATGGCATGTAAGTGAACACATACACAAGTGAGCAAGTGTATGTGTGATTACTCCCTTTCCCTTAAAATAATTAATTGCCAGACCCTGTAATTGCTAGGGTCTACTTTATTTATTTTTTTATTTATTTACTTGAATGGAAAATAGTTTCATTGCTGGTACGTTAAAGTACAATAAAGACATCCTGATGATTTACCGCTACTAATTTAGTTGGCATCTTTTAAAAAATGACAGTTTTTTATGTAACTGATATTATCGTACTTTGCACAATTAGCAGTCATTTCTTTTTTCTTCAAGTCATTTTTTTATATGTCTAATACCTGTCTATGTTTGTAATTTTTGATTGTCTCAAAGATATCTGCTTATAGATAGTTTATCTAAGCTAGTCAAGTTTGGGATATGCTACTTCTCTCTTGAGTCTAGAACAGTTCTCCCTAAAACACCTTCTCCTCAGCTCCTGGATCAGTTGTCCCCAAGGGCGTCCAGCCTTCTGGATCTTTCCAATTGCTTCCTCATGGCATTCAGCTTGTTCCTTTATCCTGTGTATTTTCAGTAAACTGGATGTTAGATACAGAGACTGGATTCGATTTAAATGTGTCCTTATGAGTAAGACTGCTTCGCAGGTGATATCTGTGCTTCATAATATGTTTTTGGATATCAATGTCTGAATGTTATTTGTGAGGGGACCTACGCCTCTTTGATTCAGACGAGAACACTGAGGCCAGAGACTTTGCCTGGCGGTCCAGGAGTTGCCCTGTAATTTATAGACTGTTCTGAGTAGTTCCTTCCCAGACCAGTTATATCAGCGTGCACATCACCAAGACATAAAGCTGGTGCAGAGCAGCCACGCTACAGTACAGTGACGCTGGAACAGCTCTTGGCAGATGGAAACGGTCTGCTCGTTAGCTAGTTAATTATGCAGGAGAAAAGGAAGCCTGGAAGTGAAAATCAACTAATATGGTAAAGCAAAAGCGAGGTGAAGTGTTGGGTTTTTTATTAATTTAGTGCTTTCCATTATGGGTAAGATGTCTATGCATTTAATACCATAGAGAAGCCTTTTTGAGGGAGATGAAAGGGGCAAACTTCATGATTTCCAAAGTCAACTTTTCATGTATCACTTGACTTTATTTATTTCAGTTTTCATTTTATTTAGGGAAATAAACTATAGTATGTTCATTATATTGCTTATGCTGTACTTGGTGTATTTGTAAGTATTGGTCAAACCTTGGATCTTTAAAAGTTTTCGTTTTTCCCTGGCATTTTTACAGAAAATAGCTTGCATGTGTTACTGCCGCATGGGAAGTTAACTGTTGTTTTGGAGACTGACTCAGTCATGTTATAACGTGTTTGCTGTTTGCAGACCATTGGGTGCTTCCTGCTTGAGGTTGCCACCAAGGACCCTTGCCTTGTAGTAGCAGGAGAGGCTTTGGATGCCCTCTTTGATGTTTTCGCAGATGGTAAAGAAGCTGAAAGAGCCTCCATTCAAATTAAATTGTTATCTGCTCTGAAGGAATTCCAGCCCATCTTCAAAATGAAGGTTTGTAACTTTGCTTTTAAATGTTTATAAACGCCTAAGTCTTGGCGTTCTCTGGGGAGAAGAGTATATGTAGTTACCACCATGCAATTGGGGGCAGGTGTGTGACAAATTCCTATACATCTCAGTGATTAACGCAGCACTTCCCTGTACTTTGTGAATGCTTGTTGACTAAGTCATAGCTACACAGAGTGACTGGAGTCACTGTCATTGGAGCCCAAGAGGTGTCTGACCACCTCCTTATTTAACAGTTTAGCAGTGTTAACTGTGTTTAACGTATATGAATGCTATTGTCTGTAGCTTACAAAGCACTTTCATATACATTTCAAATTTGTATCATGAGGTACATTATATGTTAGTTTCATTTTTAGAAATACTTCCTTTTTGGGGAAAAAAGGTCAACTCCAGATGTTTATATTAGCAAATGTGGTTACTGCTTTTATTAGCATTTTATTTTTTATTAGAAGCATCAAAGCTAACTTTGAGTCAAAAAAATAATTTCAAGGGCTAAGGATGGAGTTCAGTGATGGGCTACCTGCTTTGGACACGCAAGGCCCTGGGTACCACTCCCAGTGATGGCAAAAATCAGTCAATCCATCAGAAATTTAAGAGGAGTGCATAGGAGCACACCCAGGAACTTTATTTTGTTCGGTGCTGGGGATTGAACCCAGCGTCTCACTCATGCTAAGCACACACTCTACATCCCACTGAGGGCTGATCAAACCCTCGGATACCCGGCGGGCAATGCGGAATAAAGACAAATTTCAGAGTACAAAGGGGAACAGGAGGAGTTTGCCTCTAGCGGACTGGCTCAACCGCTGTGGTTGGCTCATTTTTATTGGCCAGCACGAAGCTCAGAGAGGGGGAGCATGAGTTTCATGAAACAGTAACTACAAAATAGGTGGATAAGGATCAACTTAATGAGGAACCAAACTTTCTCTAAACTCAAATACCAGATTTTGACAACTGCTCTCAGCAGATGCCATCTTGCCTCAGGAGTGCCTGGTTATTAGCATTCTGCCCTTATCCAGGATGCAGGCAGCTCCCTTTGACCTTCCTGTTTCTGAAGCAACGTCTCACTGACCTCAGGACTGTGGGGACTTAAGTCACATAGTCAGGCCCCCATAATCTACCATATAGCCTGGTCCCCAGCACCACCCCTGAGCTATACCTCCAGCCCCCTAGGAATTCTAAATCCTTTTATGTAAATTCCAAGTTTAAAATGAAGTAATTTTTCTCTGTGCTGGGAATCAAACCCAAGCCCTGACACATGCAAGGCAAGTACTCTACCACTGAGATACATCTCCAGCCCCCTGAAATTATGGAATATTGAGATCATTTCATATTTTAGATTTTTTTTCAATGCTGGAGATCAAACCCTGGGCCTCAAGCATGCTAGCCAAGGGCTTTACCATTGAGCCACATTTCCAGCCCAGTATTGTAGATTTTGGGGTGGGTTTGTTGTTGTTGTTGTTGTTGTTATTTATTCATTCATTCATTCATTCATTCACTCATTCTGGCTATGCAGTTCAGGCTGACCTTGAACTCACTATGTACCCCAGGCTGGCCTCAAACTGGCAGGGGGGCCGGGGATCCTGGCAAGCACAAGGTCGTGAGTGCCCAGTACAAAAAAAAAAAAAACAACTGGCAGAGATCCTCCTGCTTCAGCACCCCCACCCCCACGCACTAGGATTACAGGCATATTGCCACCATAACTGGCCCAGTATTTTAGATTTTAAATTAAACATTTGCTTCTAATTTTTTTATCAATAGAATAAAGTTTTGGTGTTTTTGTTTTTGTTTGAGAACAGGGTCTTGAGATGTAGTCCAGGCTGGCCTGGAACTCAGGATGATCCTTCTGCCCCAGCCTCCCAGGTGTACACCTCCATGCTATGTGAGAATAGATTTTGATGAGAAATTTGCTTTCGTTGTTTTCCAATATTTGTTTTACTTTATAAGCAACTGACTCAGAATTTACTGTCTCACGGAGAGAACCCCGTAAATTTTGTTTTTGGTGCAGGGGGTTGAACCCATGGCATTATGTGTACTAGGCAAGTACTCTTTTTTGAGGTAGGACTCATGGTATTGCCCAGGCTGGTCTCAAACTCCTGGTCTCAAACGCTCCTCCTATCTCAAGTAGCTGGGGCTACCAGTGTGCTGCTGGGTGGTTTTCCTCAAAAAATTTTAAGACATAAAATAGTTTTTGAGAAGGGAAGAAAAATAGCGGTAGGGGCCACACACATTCACAGTGCCATTACTACATTCTGAAATCCGGTGTTTTAAGAACACTAATGTAGGTTTAATTTTCACATTTTCGTATTTGGGCGTGTTACATTTTGAAACTTTGTACGAGTGGCTACCACTTAGTGTGTTAACTTTGATCACTAAGTGATTTAATTGTGAAAAGCTGAGTGAACACTTTACTGTTACATTTTGTTCAAATCCCCTGTTTTTGTTAGCTTGTTTCGAGAGCAGTGAGGGGTTTTGTTCTTGCTTGTTCTTCGCCTCACAGGTAACCAAGCTGAATGGTGTTTCAAAGACTAATGTATCCGAGTATCTCCTCCTTTATTGTTCATAAAGTAGCAGTCCTGAACTTTGTGTTTTGGCTTCACACTGTATCCTAGAGATCTTTTCATACCAGTACATGGTAGGTGTCCACACTGTTAAAGCTACAGGCTGGTGTGGCTGAGGCAGAAGAATCACAAGTTCGAGGGCAGTCTGCTGTATGTATGTATTTTGATTTTTTGAGACAGAGTCTCACCACATAGTACAGGCTGGCCTTGAACTCACTGTGTAGCCCAGGCTGGCCTTGAACTTACTGTCTCAGCCTCCCTACTGCTGGGAGAGATTACAGGCATGTGCCACCATGCCTGGCAAGAGCCTGTCTTTGGAAAAAAATAATAAAAAAGTTATAGGCCTTTGGACTTCTAGAAGAGAGCCTGTGAGATAATGAGGAAATGTATCCCCTTTTTCTCTTCTCTACAGCTGCAAGGCAGACAGGTGTAGAGACGTCAAAACTCTGCAGAAGGCCTGAGGCTGTAGCTCAGAGGTAGAGTGTATGCTTAGCATGCAGGAGGCTCTGGTTAGAATCCCAGCACTGCAAACAAAACAGCGAACTCCACAGAAGCAAGTGCTTAGAAAGGAGTTATGAACTATGAACTGGGAACAGGAACCCAAACTTCTGAGGTCTGTTGTTCACGTTCATTTTCCTAGGTGATATGTGTTGCTATGATAATAATATTTCATTGTTTTTCTTTTCTTAAAAGTATACTGACCTAATGAAGTATCTTTGTTAGCCAGAAGACTAGCCTGTAGTTTGGGGGTGTTTTTTGGTTTGGAGTTTTTTTTTACAGTGCTGGAGACAATGTATGCTAAACAAGCATTCTACCACTAATGTAGTTTTTTATATGAAGCTCTTTCCTGTAAAATGGAGCTACAGTTGCATTAAAGGTGTTCAGTATGTATTTAGCAGTAGATTGCTTTTAAATACAGTACTATTGATTCTACTAAAGAACCATACCACAGTAAGGCAGTCTTCCCCAAAGTGCCTTCCCATCCCGGAGAATCACTGCTTAGAATAAAGGTGAGATACAGTTCACTGAAGTCAAATTCTCTGCTTTGTGTTTTGTTTTTTGTTTTTTGGGTTTTTTGTAGTAAGTAGCTGCATTTATTGAAGATCATGGGATGGTATTAGGAACAGGGAGGAGAGTAAAGGAAAAAGACCCAAGTGCAAAGGGAAAAAGGGGGCAAATGCACTGTTTTAAAGTCTACAACTCAGTTGCTTTTGTAATTCTCATTTTAAAAGTAAACATTCTAAATTTATCTTTAAAAAATAAATTTATGTTTATTCTTCATGTACAGTATTCGGTTTACCTTGGAAGTAAAACTGTTTAACAAATTCTTACAGTGGTCTTGTTCAGGAAGTGGTTAAATATACCCGAAACTAAATACTTTTGGATTTTTTTTCCTTCCTTTCTTTTTTTTTCTTTTCTTTTCCTCCCTCTTTCCCTTTTTTTTCTTTTTCTTCCCTCCCTCCCTCCTCCTTCCCTCCCCGCTCCCTCTCTCTCAGGGATTGAACCCAGGGACTTTACACTGAGCTACATCCCCAGCCCTTTAAAAATAAAAAAAATTTTTCTGAGACAGGGTCTCTCTAACTTATCTAGACAGGACTCAAACTTCAAATCTTCCATCCTCAGCCTCCCAAAGTGTAAGATTTGTCACCTTGCCTTGGCAAATACTTTATTTAAATGAATTAGTAGTAGATACCAAATCACATACAATTTTTTTTGACAGATCCGAAAAGAAGGGAGAGGTAAATACAGTCCAGATCAGCTGTGTGTTCTCAACAATGTAAAGATGAATTTGAGAAGATTTGTTGCTTATCAAGAAACTGTTGAGAAAAGACTCACTTCTTGAACCATCAAAGAGACTGGAGCTGCAGGTGTAGCTCAGTGGTAGAACATTTGCCTGGCATTCATGGGGCCCGGGTTTAATCCCCAGCACAGCAAGAAAAGAATAAAATGAGAAGAGGGGAGAACGGTTCTTCCCTGCAGTATCTGATGCTCTTGATGCTAAAGGGTTTCCTTTGAGTATTATGCTTCAAAAAGCCATTCTCAATGCCTGTCGTATAAAAATTAATTTGAAGTTTTATAAAAAACTTTAAAACCTGTCCAAAGCTCTTGTTTCAGCATTGAGATCTGTGTGGCATTTCTAAGGATCTCTCTACTATGTCTCCAGTATACTTTAGTCACTGGAAACAAAGAATAGAAATGAAATGCAACCTCAGGTGGTTTTTAACTATGTTGTAAAAAGTAAAGAACTTGAGATAATCATGTACTTGAATTTTTCAAGAAAGGAAAATCTAAATCATCACTTAGATACTTTTAAAGCCAGTATCGTTTTTACAGTAGCTGAATCTTGAAGTGAAATATGAATATTATGAAGTATTTTGATATAGAGTAACCTTTATCAATCATGAATTTTGTGTGAAGAAGTGGATGTGTTGGATTTCTATGTCACTGCTCAGTAGCTTATATTAATGAACTAATAAGGCCATTGTGTCCTCTATGAGCAGCTGTGGTCGGCTATTGGTTTGTAACATCACTCACTGATTTGATTTGATATAGAAGCAAAATTGCTAGAAAATATTTTTGAATAAATAACTTTAATTGAAAGCTTTATGTCTTATAAAATTTTTTTAAACCACTAGATAATCCTATTCCTGGGTGGTTTGCTTGCTAATGAATATTGCTTCATATGTATGTGAGACATTAAAAAAGACTTGCAGCGAGTTTCCAGTGTCACTGCTCATTGTCCTGGAAGTAATCGGTGACAGGAAGGGCTCACGGCAGGAATTCTGCTGTGCATCACTGTCTCAGAGGCCCCCGGTACCAGCTCCTACATCCATCCATTTGCCTGATCAGAAGAGTTATGGGTAGAGATTTGAAAAGTCCCCCATAGTTGATCTGAATTACCCAGATACACCAGAATAGGACTTGATTTTCCCCCTACTTTTATAGTTGCATAAAATGAGCCAGTAATGTTACATTGCGTCTGTACTGTGGCATATGTTACAGCGTCTACCTGAGTGATATAGATTGTTTGGCAGTCAAGATTACTTCCCAGCTCTGATGAGTCACTGAGCCCATGAGACTGAGTAAAAATGACCACGTTCTGTACATGGGTAGGGAATGGAAGTGGTGCACCATATATGTACATTTCTTTTACGTTATTATATTCCTGGATCATGAGTTTTTATCATGTGCCTAGTGATCATTGCAGCCAAACTACTGACCCAAGCTTTGTATGTGTTCTTTGAGAAGGATTTCTCCAGTGAAGCAAAGTTTGAGTTCCCCCTGCCTCAAATATTCCTACAAAGTCATTTTCAAGGAAAATAAAATTTCCAATTATGTTCTTTCCTGCATTTTTTTTTTTAAAGACAGTCCATCTATGTATTTTAGGCTGGCCTTGAACTCATATGTAGCCCAGACTGGCCTCAAACTCAGCAGTCTTCCTGTTTTCAGCCTTCTGATTATAGCCCTGTGCTACCACTCCCAGCTTTCTATGCTTACTAACCATTAAACAGTAGAGCCTACTGCATAGTAGGCTCTTACTATGTATTAAGCAAATCAGTCTTATGATTTTCTGTTTTACTGAGCAATCCCTTAGGGAGTCAAATCATCCTGCCCAAAGGGAGAAGTGAATTGATTTTTTTTTTTTTTTTAGTACTGGGAATCGAACTCAGGACCTTGCACTTGCCGAGCAGGTGCTTGTGCTGCTGAGCTATATCCTCAAAGTGAGTTACTATATTGGAAATGTGTAATAACTTTTTAGATTCTAAGGCCTGGATACTCTGGTCTATATTGGTTTGTGTGTATGTGGTGGTGGTTTTTGTTTTTGAGAAAGGTCTCCCTTTGTAGTGTAGGCTGACTTTGAACTCACTGGAAGCCCAGGCTGGCCTCAAACTTGTGATGATCCTCCTCCCTCCACCTCCCAAATGCTAGGATTGCAGGCATGCGCCACCACAGCCACCTGGTCTGCATTGTTACCGTTCATTCTTTGCCATTCTAACAACAGAGGGAATAGAAAAGTAAATATTAAATATACTCTAGTTTTAAACGACTGACACAGTGACTTGGTCATTCATGAGACAGTGTAATACAGACTAGTTTTCCTAGACAAAAAGAAAGTCTACTTTAAAACACATTTATGGTGTCATTTCACACCACTATTATCCCAGCTACTCTGGAGGTGGAGGCAGGGGCATCAGAAATTCAAGGTCGGCCTGGGCCACTTAGCAAGACCATTTATTTCAAAATAAAAAGAGCTGGGGGGAAGTTTACAATTGGAGGGAGACCTGTTTCCACAAAAAGAGTAAGGCTGGAGATGGGCAGCAGGTCCCGGGAGAAACAGTGAGCCAGGCTGGCGGTGCAGCGCTCCCGCCTCCAACCCCAGCACTAGACAATGAAGCAGTCACAAACTCTAGATTCAGCCACCTCGGAAAAGCCCAGCTCCCATGACCACATGAGGCTTTGGGGGGACATCCAGACACAAAGCATAACAGTGGGAAATTAGGAGCAGTTTTAGGAAGGGGTTAATTGTTTAAGACTGAATGCCTCCAGAAATCAGAAGTCACAGGACAGCTACACTTCAGGATTTCTGGGGTCATTCTACCATAGTGACTGGGTGGAAGATGGCCACAAGAGACAGTCATAGAGAGGATACAGGCTAGACATAGACCACCCCCTGAGAAATTCAAACTCTGGGCAGGAAGGACACAAGTGTCCCACCCTCTACTAAGAAGCCAGGATGGTTATGTGTGATTTTCAGAGGAGACTATGTCTGAGAGTGCTGGCATTCAGTCCAGAGGGCTGTTTGGCCCTCCTGCTCTGCTGCCTATGTCCAGCACAGAGCTCAGTGGTTGGCTTGCTCTCCTCATACGCCAGTTTTTCAGGGATATGTCTCAGGTTGGACAGTTAACACAGCCCAGGGTATATGGACAGAGGGGCCTCTGGAGTTGGGGGACACCTTACAAACCCACAGATTGCAAAGTTATGCAGAGAATGCAGTGATTTAGGGAACACGGGCACAAAGTGGGGGTGGCCAGCTGAATACAGCACTAGGACAGACACCACTGACCATGTGCAACAGGAAAGGCTGGACAGGACTCAGCATTCACACATAAAAAGTGTGTGGAAGAACCCTGATGTAGTAGTGACTCGCTACCCCTCCCATAGCTGGTGGGTTCCAACACTGCAGGCTCTGAAAGAAGCCACTCAGTCAAACACACAGAGGAATGTTTTTGACTTGCTTTGCTTTTCCTTTTTTCTTGGAAAGGGATTATCATTTTTTTTCTGATCCTTTATCTTACTTTTTTCTCCTCATTTTTGTTTCCTTTATTTTTCAGATTTTACTTTTTACATTTTCCCTTTCCTGGCTCCTCAAATTTTACTACTACTTCTATAAAGTTTAATAAATTTTAAGTATTTAGTTGAGTCTAGGCTATTATTGAATTCTTTTCTATTGTTAATAGTGATATAGTTGTTACATTTAGCAGATACTAACTTTACATCAATATTTGGTTTCTCTTTGTGTCTGTGTTATTGCAGATCTCTTTTCTGTTGTTAAGTGTGGTACAGTGGTAGCTTTCACTGGTTCTTATACTATGTCAATATCCAGTTTGTCTTTCCTAATTACTTTGCTGTTGCCAGTAGTGGCATAGTTGTTGCTATTAATTGGGTTTTATTGTATGCCAATATCTGGTTTGTCTTTGTATCATTAACAATACTAAGATTCATTTCTGGAGAACTGGGTGCTGGGCCAATTACACTGCACACTCCAAAAATTAATAGAGGTGGTCAGGTCTTAGGACAGAGGCAAAAGCCTGTAGTTAGCCATACCCAGAGTGCATCACTGAAAAGCAGACACTGACTGAACAGATCTCCATACTAGCAAAACAGTCTTTCTACTTTAATCAGCCCTCAGCACAACAGACACATGTAGCTTTACCCCGCCCCCCCAACAAAACATGAAAAAAGAAGGCAACAAATGCCTCCAAAGGCTCAACTCCCCAAAGCTGAACTATGGGGAAGAAATCAAAAGCCAAACAGCTGAGTCATACAAAATGATTTTTAAAAAGGTGAAAATTTTTTGAAAATTTAAAAACCAAGTAACAACAACAAGAACAAAACAGCTTCTTGGTGAGCTGAAAGATGATATAACTAGCCAGTCTGGTGGCACATACATGTAATACAGTGCTCAGGAGGCTGAGGCAGAAGGATCACTGCAAGTTTAAGGCCAGCTTGGGCTACGTAGTTAGTCCAAGACCAGCCTGAACTGCATAGCGAGACCCTGTCTCAAGTAATAAAAAAAGACAGTATAACTAAACAGATAACTTAATAAATAATCAGTAGACTTAAAGAGGATACTAATAAAAAGGTAGCTGAGCTAAAAAAATGATACACAACATGAATAAGAGTCCATGTAAAGGTACCAAACAGAAATGTAGGAGATAAAAACTTCTGTTGAGAATATAGGCAGCAGAAGTGATACATGTGAGAAGGGAATGTGAGAAATGGATGATAGTATTAATGCAGGTAACCATACAATCAGAGATACCTTAAAAATAAAAGATCATGGAAAATACATTCAACAGCTGCTAAATGATGCAAAAAAAGACTAACCTGAGATTAACTGGAATTAGTGAAAAATCAAAAGACAGCATGGATGGCATTTTAAAAAACCTATATAGAGAAGTTATACCAGAAAACTTTCCATGTATGGGGAAAGAATTCAACATACAGGTAAAGAGACGTATGGATCCCTAAATAGCTATGATCAGAAAAGAACTTCTCCACAACTTATCATAGTCCAAAGTCCCAGCAGTCTAACAAAGGACTTAGAAGCAACAAATCACCTATAAAGTGAAACAGATACAGAAGACTTCTCAACACAAATATTAAAGGTCAGGAGAAATTTAGTGAAGTGTTTGAAGCCCTAACAGAAAACAACTGCCGGGGCTGGGGATTTAGCTCAGCGGCAAAAAGTGCCTGCCTGGCATGTGCAAGGTCGTGAGTTTGGTTCCCGGTACCAGAGAAAAACCAAAAAAAAAAGAAAAGAAAAGAAAAGAAAACAACTGCCAATCCAGATTAATATATCCTTAAAAAAAAGCACCTTAAGAAATTCATGAGCACCAAACCAACACTCTAAAAAATTCTTGAGGATATCCTAGAAAGATACGATGAAGCCAGTGATGCCAAAACTCTAGTGGAATGAATATATCGGATGGGTGAGCAGTTAAGCAGAAAGGAAGGGAAAGAAAAAGTCAGCAACAGGAAAATAATACAATGACAGGAATAAGTCCGTACCTTTTAGTGAGAACTCTCTGTGAATGGTCTCAAATCCCCAGTCAAAAGACAAAGAATGGCAGATTGGATCAAAAACAAAACCCAGTGCTATGCTGCATGCAAGAAACACAATCACAGAAAAAAAAATTCATAGGCTAAAAATCAAAGAATGGAAAACAATATTACATGCAATGGAAACCCCAAAATAAGTAGGAGTAGCTACCCTATTTTCCAGATAAACTGGACTTCAAGCCAGTGCTGATCCGAAGAGGCAAGAAAGGTCACTACATATAAGTTAAGGGACAATTTCAACAGGATGAGATAACGATTGTACATATATATGCACCAAATACTGACACACCTAACTTCATAAGATGCACACTACTAAACATAAAAAATAAGATAAACATCAACCCAATTATAATGAGAAATCTCAATATCCCAC